TGCCTAGTTTCAGAAACCTTAACCTCAGTCATAGCACATGATCCTTTAACAATGAACCCACAAATTCAGCTACAGTTGTAAAAAAATCATTTGACTAATCTCAAAAAGTCCTTCAATTGTCCAGACTTTACCCCTATTGAGTGTGTCTTATTTCAGAGATGGGTGATCACCAAGATGTTTTCTGACAAATGTGAGATGGGTCTTTGATTTACATTTGGTCAGCAACATGGATTCCATTTTCTGCCAGTCTCTTTCTTACTGATGAATTATGAACACTGGCCTTACTTGGTGACACTGATGTCTGCAGAGCTTTAGAAGCTATGCTGGGTTACTTTGTGATCTTCTTGATGAGTCATCAATGTCCTCTTGGGATAATTTTAGTAGGCCAGCTACCACTGTTTTATGTCTTATCTGTCCGTGAAAAATAACTCTCACTCTGGCTTGCTGGAGTTCCAAGGATTCAAAAATTACATTGTATCTCATCTTTTCCTGAATTTCTTCAGATCAAGGTATAATTTGTTGCTTTTTTACATATTTTTGTCTACTTTATGCTCTTAGAGACCTTGAAAAAAAAATCAGTTAATCACAGTTAATTCATGATTTAACAAGGAGGGAGAGGAGGTCTAACTTAGAGGAGCTCATTATGTGAACAAATTCATAAATTACCACATTCTGCATGATCTTCCAGAAGAAAGAGAGGAATAGACTTACCATATCTCAACTGGGCTGTAGTAGGTGGTGCGATTTCCAGCTGCCCTGAAAAAAGACAAATGAAAAATAAAACGTTACAAAAGTATCTTGGAACATCCCAGCATGAATGATATGTTTAAATTTCGAATGGTAAAATCGATCAATAAGGACCGTCTGGGCACAAAGAAAAATAGCAAGAGACGGTAGGAACATTTAGCAAGAAGCCAGAGGAGATGGAAAACAGTCAGAGGAAATCGGAAACAGCTTTCCATCATTGTCACTTCACCCGAGTCAAACATGGATGTGAGGACAAAGGCAGTATCATTGATATTTCTGTTGGCAACAAAGCCTTGGAGACAGAACCTGCTATCAGATATGACAAGTGTTTGAGAAGGAGGGTGGTGACAAACGGACACAGATAAAAGATGAAAAGACAGAAGGTGTAAAAGCATTTTATTTTACTTGGTTCTCTGGTCTAACTTAGCTGAAAATAAAACTAAGCTGAGAGTCTAATTACAGTTTTTATGTGTTGTGGCAATCAAGCGGAAGACTGGATGACGATGTCCTGTGAACTGTATATGGCATGAGAGACTGTAGGATAAGCTCCAGGTTTATCCTGCAGACTGATGAGCTATAAAATCAAAGACAATTACATGAGTTTAAGGCTGATCACACACAGTAGGATCATTTCCTTTGCAGGTTGCTTGAAATTGGATTCCCTGCAGTGAGGTCAGACGATATGCAAGTTCACATAATGAAGTCTACGGCACCACTCTCCGGTCTTATTTTACCTCTGCAGGTAAGGTCAGATTGAGGGAGAGTTTATTTGAGGGAATGAAGCCAAATGAACTCCCAGCAGAGTATTCCTCAGCCTCTGCTACTACAACCGAGTGTGTGAATTAATAGATGCACTTGCAGTCCCCACATGCTGTCTGCACTGATATAGGAATGAGAGCAGATAGGAGGAAGACTATTACAGCCGAGTATCGACTGGAAGCAGCGAACTGCAACAGCCAGGTGACCAATTACAGGAAACACCAATGGGAGTTTGGCCACTGGAGCCTCTGGTTTCTCACCGGGGTGTGGTGGCATCAGTCCCTCCACTCAGCCTTCCAGTTCTCATCTGCCCTTCCTGTTCCATCGTCTCCGCCTCCTCTCATCATTCCTGCCCGCTGCTCTCCCGACTCAAATTACAACGCTCTCATGTTGCTCTAGCAAAGACAGAGAACCGAAGGCCCATTTCGAATGTATGGACGAAGTTCATCATCTTTGCTCACTGTTGCCTCCAGCTTCGACAGCTTGCGCAAAATGAAGTATTGCTCATTTCAAAATTCCCTCCGGAGCGTTCTTTCAGCTAATCAACTATTATCTCCGGTTGCAGGTTGTGGAAAACCCTCGCAGCTTAATAAGCATCAATTATTCCACAACAGCAGAAGAACAAATTGACACTGATGAAAGTAATTTCCACAGAGCCAGTCTTGTTTTGTACCAGAAACCATCGCCAAGCTTTTATTTCCTGTTTAGCAAGTATCAAATAAAACCTTTCTATGGTCCACCTGTGCCATCAACAACACAGCTGCTGTTTTAGCTTCATAACTTTTCTCACCGAAACAGAAATATACCCTCAGCTCTCTCATATACAGCAAATATAACATGTTTATTTTTTTAATATTTACAACATAAAATACATAGCAGATTACATGTCTGACCTAAAATACCAACATTTTACAGAACATTGTAAAAGGACAATTTTCCATAATTAAAAGAAGCTTGATTTCTGCTCTTTACCAGAAAATTATGGAGGAGAATCTGGATCATCAGTTTGTGATCTTAAGCTGAAGCGCTTAAGACAACAATCACAAGCAAACTAGCGAGTTCTCCACTTTATGTTTCAATAAGTAAATAAATAGATGAAGGTTTTAGAGTGGATAAATCAAGGTCTGGACTTAAACCAGATTTAGATTTTGTGGCATGACCATAAGCAGGACGTTCATACTCACACACAATTGTGCTTTGTATTTATTCAGGAGATAATCTTTTGACTTTAAAATTTGAAAGAAATCGATAAGGAGGCAAATTATGGAGCCTCCAGTTTCAGTTTGAACATTTTAATAACTTAATTTTAGAAGTCTAATAAATGAACGGGTTATGCAAACAAAGGTGTCTCGTTTAAGTAAAATCTATATGAGGTATATATAAAGATGTAATCACCGATATAGAGACTCAAAACAGACAACTAGTTTAGGACCTACTATTATGTTAAGTTAAATAATCTAATTTAAAAATGTGGTTTACTTTTATATCTCTCAAAAATTTGTGAAGTTGACACAATTTTTAAACATTTCTCAACCAGTCAGACTCTTCCAGGTTTCATCTAGCCATTCATCAACTCTAATCTGGCTGGCATTGCTGCATATTGCCCCCACAGCTCCTCTTGTTCTCAGAGTATTGATTGTTTGTGGGCTTGTATCCCCAAGAGCTATTGTCCAGAGTGACTTCAAATTCAGCCGACCTGAGTGGTGAAAACATTTCATGGGCTGTGATGAGCTGCTAATCAGGAAGCAGGGCAACCAGGTCTTACTCTTAACTTCAGGATCTACAACTCCTACTGATGACAGTGTTTACAGATGAACACAAAACAGGGACAGATTTGTTGTTTTTAATGTTTGTTTGTGTTTGTTTAATCCAATTTTTTGTTTCATCTTCTTGTTTTATGCTTCTGCTGATACCTGCTGCTCTGTTACTCTCTGTGTGATTCGGCCACCAACACAGAACTGTACTTCTTTTGCTAAAAAAGAAAAAAAGAAAAAAAACTATGAAAAAGTCACACTTTGCTGACACTTTTCGGCCTTGACAAATGGCTCGTTACAGACTTTGCTGCTTGGTGCTGGCGCAAAGTGAAGTGTGAAGAGAGTTTTGGAAAATGGAGATAAGTCTGAAGCAACCAAGAACCAAAGCAAGGCTCAGCTTTGATGAGTGAAACTCTGTCAGCTCACACTGAGCGCCCTGCGCCTCAGTAAAAATGAAAAATATGGGTGGTGAGATTTTCTGCCAATTCAGGTATTAGTGTCACAGAGGCAGAAACAAGAAAAGCTGCAATTGCATTTTTTTTATTACGAGCTATTCAAACTGGCACAATATTTCTTGTTTCTGTGTTTGTGTGTGATTCAATATTGCAAATGTGAGTTGAAGTGACAGCTTTGTCCTTTGTTTCAGAAATAGATGGCATTTAAGAGAGTTCCATTATCTGAGATGGTGTTGTGTGAGTCCTTAAACGTGCTGTATAAATTAGTGTCGCCTGATTGAAATTATATTGTGTGTTCTATTTAGCGTGTGTGTGTGTGTGCGTGTATGTGACCCAGGGTTCAACAGAAAAGGAACAATAGAAGGTTAAAACCATCCATCAAAAGCCCAGCCCCTGTTGTTCCCCCTGTGATGTAGGAGACAGGAACGGGGAAATTAAACACAAAAAGGATCTTGTGGACATGGCATTCATTAGCAAATTTAAAATGTGAGGAAGAAATCAGCATTGAGTTTGGATTTATTAGGCCTGATAAGAAGGGATGAGATACTCATATAAAATTAGCACAAAATGATAAATACTGGTATTAACTGAAGAAGTGGAGTCCAGACAAGCTAGATTTTGAAATGTACATCTCTTTGACTTGACAGAGCATTGAGTTGTAGTTAAGAAAGACTACTTTATTCTTTTGATGCCATTTTGGCACCTTAAACAGAACAAAGACAGTCATCAAGTATTAATGACCCACCTGAAAAACTAAAGCAATGGAGAGGAGAGGCAAAAAGCCAGCAATAGCCAACCATGTGCTGCTTTAACCTTAACATCGACTAGAGCAATTGTACTTGAAGCATTTTTCCTGCTATAAAATGTGTCTGTATATTCTTATTCTGACACAATGACACTCTTTTAATCATTTCATCCCAGATGTTTTGTGTGTTTTGTCAGAGGTCAAGCTCATCTATAAAGAAAAAATAAGATGATCCATCATCGCCTTCTGACCTCAGTCCTGAGTGGACAGGTTCATTTAAACAAAAGCCACCTTGAATATCAAACAGCTCCTGCTCTGCATAATAGCACCAATAAAGGAGCTTCAGCCGTGGCTCTGTCATGTAATTAATTCCTCCATCTGCCTAAACACTGGGGTCTGTCAGCATATCTTATAGGATTGCTTAAAGTTGGCAATACATTGGAAATCTTTTTGTTTTCAGTCCTTAGGTCCTAATAAAGTTTTCCTTAAAGACAGACACTAGAAGTCACCTTTAGTTAGTGCAGAGGTACCCAAACTGTGGGGCGCGCCCCCTACGGGGGGCGCCGTGTCATTGCAGGGGGGACGCGGGAAGCCCTCTGGATGAAAAACAAAACAAAACATGAACACTGTATGCGCTGGGCTTTTACCTTAGAATGGCCAACTTTCTGTTATTCCTATGTCAATTTGATACAGTAGAGGCTTCCACACTAACCATATTTGTGTCCTCTGTCACTTTTATCAGCAGTTAAAACTGTTTAATCCGTTGTTAACAAATAACATGTTGTAACCTGTTTTTCCGAGCCGCCTTTAAACGCAACATGAGCGCTACGACGCTCGCGCTGGAGGAGACCTGCTGCTGGGCGGAGCTATGCAGGTTTGTGTTAGAATCACGGCAGCAAACCAGCAAAACGCAAAGAACCTTTCCCAGTTTTTCCCTCCAAACTAACCGACTGAGTTGAGTAAAGCTGTTGGATGCAGGTAATGTTAGCTAAAAGATGACTAGCTAGCTAATATCAATACAGAACCTTAAGCTTAACAAGTACCTTGAGGGCTACCGATGTTGGTGTCTATTTTCAGCTACGTACATTAATTTTGCCCCCAAAGAAGTCGATGTCCCCCCGTTAATCCATAGGGGGTGGGGGGCCCAGAAAATGTTTGGAAACCACTGAGTTAGTGTGTCTAATCAGTCCACATTTAGAGATTTGATGTGTACATGTTTTAATCTTTCACTTCTTTAACACAATTTCTCTTTAGACATTGCATTTCACATGTCAATTTGAAATAAATCTATCCAGA